CAAATTGACTGAAATCAAGAAGGGAACATTAGTATAAATATGTGCAAGCAGTTAATTCAGAGTTCAGAAATTATTGAATATTCAGCGAGATTTATCACGTCTAATCTGTTATTCAGTTACTCGGTGAGTCATGTGTTTGTTTATCGATTAAAGCTAAGTTAGGCGTATGTATCTCAGTTTGCATTGAAACGTTGTATTTGAAGTTAGGCCTGTAGTAAGTTAAGAGTTTTAACTTAAAATTTATGTATTTGAAATTATACCTACAAATTGTGTCAACGTGAATGTACTCTGTCGACACGTTATAAAAGGAATAAAGTACTTTACTATTATTACGTGGACTGGATCTCGCCTTATTTTCACCAAATAAGCTAAAAGAGCCCACCCAATAATAGAACACTTTTACAACAATGAGTTTTAAAGCCTAACATTTATTAACCTGTATTAAACTATGAAGTAAGATCGAGGTTTTATTGTCACTGGACACGGCTGAAGCCGCAGTAAGGCCAGACGTGACCCGATGGACCTACAGTGTCTGCCAATGTTGAGTTTTCTTACACACAAAGCAGCCATACGGCACTTAAAATATATGGAAAATAAGTTAAACGTTAAAATACAAAACAATCACTCTCTCTATTTTCATTTATAGATAAATAACATAGAATACGAAAAGTGAAAAGTATAATACACGAATGGAAGGGTTTAAAGTATAATACACGAATGGAAGGGTTTAAAGTATAATACACGAATAGAAGGGTTTAAAGTATAATACACGAATAGAAGGGTTTAAAGTATAATACACGAATAGAAGGGTTTAAAGTATAATACACGAATAGAAGGGTTTAAAGTATAATACACGAATGGAAGGGTTTAAAGTATAATACACGAATAGAAGGGTTTAAAGTATAATACACGAATAGAAGGGTTTAAAGTATAATACACGAATAGAAGGGTTTAAAGAAATCTAATATTTTGCACGAATTGCTTACATTTGAAAATGTTACACTAAGGGAATTTTAAGTTCTTGAAAAGGTTTACAGAAATAATATAAATTTGACAAACTTTATTAGTTTCCTCTGACACCTGTAGGTGGCGCCAGGACATAACATCCCTACATTAGTCAGTTAGTCTAACTTTGAAACTTTTTGAAGCGGACGAAGAATAACTGAATTTTTTTGCTAGTGACCTGACGCTAAGTATTAGGCTTGGTATTCATATGATTTGTTTTCGTACTCATTATCACGATTTTATTTCATAATGTCCGAAAGAACGTCAATAGAGGTAGGTTAGTAGAATTTCGTGATGTAGTTTGTTTGTAATTAAGCACAAAGCTACACAATGGGCTTTCTGTGCTCTGCCCACCACGGGTATCGAAACCCGGATTCTAACGTTGTAAGTGCGCAGACATACCGCTATGCCACTTCGAGGGGGGGGGTGTCTGTCGGTCAGTCCGTAGACACTAAAATGACGTCACATAAGGGACGTTTAATGTTGCAATTAGTACCGACTGATGTCAGTCAAACGTGCGTATCCATGAATCACGAGAAGAATTATGCACTCTGTAAGATACAACTCAGCATGACATATGAACTTCAAAAGCAAGAAATAAAAATATTTGTTACTCTTAATTTAGGTTTTATTTACTCTTGAAACAGATCTAACACTTTCGAGGACCCTGCGGAAGTACACCTAATATTTAGTCTTCTATGTTCGTAAATCGTCAGAATTTCTATAAAGTACACTGTGAACAGATTTGACGAGATCAGACACGATAATTTAATTGTAGATTTAAAAGAATAATCAAATAGTCGTACATGTGTCATATTTTTCAATCGATAAGCTATGAAAGTTCTGTCAGATATTCGTAATGTCTTTGCTAGTTTTTACGTTGAATATATCACATTTGCAAACGTAAACCAACGGAGCGATAAAATTTATCGCTTTGATCAACCTTTCAGGCAAAATCCTCGCTTGGTACTTAACTCTGATTTTGCCGGATGTAGTATCTCTCTAACACCAGTTCTACTGTATTTAAAGTAATATGTAAAACATCATTAAATATTCTTTTTTCTAAGATAATGTTTTTCCTTCCTCAATTTTTCACTATTACGATGTATTACTATTTCATTCGTACGTTTTTCCACTTGCATTCAACTCGAAGCGCTGTTTGTTACCTAACTGATTCGCAAAGCTACACACAACTAGGCCTCTAGTTAAACATAATGGATAACACCTGTTTAGTCAGAGAATAATAAAAATGATAATTGTGTTCGGCTGAAGGTAAAGATTCAAGCTGATGACCTCATTATAAAGCTTGTTTGCCTATTGTTGTAACTTTGTAACTAGTCGCCTAAACTTAAGCAATTGTTACACACCTGGGTAGACAGCAACTTCCCTGTGAATGTGTCACTTCATGGTTCTACGATTCCTCGCGTAAAAACAGTAAGTGCTACCACGTAGTGCGCGTAGTTCGGATATTGCAGTGAGCCTTACCTGGAAAGCTGCTCTGGTTGTTGTGCTGTATGCACAGAAAGACTAGCAACTCACAGAAACACACTTCCTATGAGCCGAACTTTTCGCGATGAAAAGTGATATGGACCCTTTCACCTTTATTCATGCTTATAAACAACTGCCAGGTAAGTTTCTCCTCACCTTTATTCGTGCTTATAAACAACTGCTGGGTAAGTTTCTCCTCACCTTTATTCATGCTTATAAACGAACTGCCAGTTAAGTTTCTCCTCACCTTTATTCAAACAAATGTCAGATAAGTTTCTCCTCTATCATTTTACAAACGAAGGAATACAAAGACAAAAAGCGTGATTTTTTCGTTTATGTACATACATACAACATACTAGGGGGGTGTGGGTAAAACTCAACTGATTTTATATAATAGTGCTGTTTTATATAATCTTATTATATACAGTAAAAATAATAGAAATCGGCTCATAAAGTAAACCAAGCTCACGTTTGACACCTAGCTGATGGAAAAATGGTGTTTGGCCAATATTTTTAATAACATATTCCTGGCATTTCCATCGAAGAAGCTACCATTTCGATGTTAACTGGTGTTTAGTTATCGGTAAACATCAGATCATTTTGTTACTTCTCAGACGAATTTTGATAATTCTATGTAATTTTCCGCATAGGTCATGTTCTTTTTTTCGTGGTGTATTCACATATTCTTTTTATTTTGAAGCAGCCACAAAGATGCTCATTGTCTTAATAGAACGCTTAGAAAGTACCTACTTTAAAAGTGGGGCTTTTAAATTGTGAAATGTACATTTTCATCTAAATCTAATTTCTTAATTATGTCTGTTCTTGTTCATTAAGTGTTTTTTGTTGTTAGCGATGTTTTTAAGCAGTACAACAAAATTAGGACATCTTTTTACTGAGCTTCGAATTTACAAAGTTATATTTAACACTTTACGGTGGTTATTTGATATTTAGCACTACTCCTACGTAGATTGTTTCCTCCTTCTCCTACAAAAAAAAAGAAAGAAAACTTTCTTCGACAGTTTATTCCTGTCATCTTCTTCTTCGTCTCACTGAAATTAAATTCTGCACGTATCTTCGAGTACTTACTTTTTTCTTTCGTAGTTATGTCGTGACAATGAGAGAGTGGGGTATAAATGTAAGACAAGACATCTAGGGACAGTTTACCGTATCAAGATAAAGCTATTCCTGAGAGATAACACGGCTGCGCTGCTTGAAACATTCGGCCTTTGACCTCGCAAACAAAATGTATCATGCCAAGATGGCCAATAGGCCGGCGGGCTACTAAGGGCGGGCTCATAGCAAATATGCTATGTAAAAAGTAGCAGCAACATCTGGCTGTAGGTTTCTATACTCATCCAGTTTGGCTAGTTCATGTTTCCATATGAACATTTTTTTTTTTATTTATTATTATTGAGAGTGCCTCTGTTGAATTTCCAATAAAGGCTTTAATAGTTTGACACACCCTTGGGGCCTTTTTTTGGAGCAGGACTAAAAGTCCGGGTTCATATCCAGGGGTGAGACTTGTGATTCCTATCAACGAAAGTATTTCTTTAGGATATTTAATGTTTCTAAATTAAAGTGAGGTTAATTTAAAGTTAACATTTAGCTCAATTTACACTTCTAAACTTCTTTTTTTTTATTCACCTGGAAAGAAAGACTTCTTACTTTATACAGTCGTACATTTTGTTAAATTACAATTGTGAATTTGGTTCTTACTTTATACAGTCGTACATTTTGTTAAATTACAATTGTGAATTTGGTTCTTACTTTATACAGTCGTACATTTTGTTAAATTACAAATGTGAATTTGGTTCTTACTTTATACAGTCGTACATTTTGTTAAATTCCAATTGTGAATTTGGTTCTTACTTTATACAGTCGTACATTTTGTTAAATTCCAATTGTGAATTTGGTTCTTACTTTATACAGTCGTACATTCTGTTAAATTACAATTGTGAATTTAGTTTGTTTGTTTTGAATTGTGCAAAAAAGGTACACGAGGGCTATCTGCGCTAGCCGTCCACAATTTAGCAGTGATGGACTAGTGAAGACAACTAGTCATCGCCA